TACCACATTAATTCCCAAGCAGAAGTGGTATTCAGCAAGTTCTGACCAGCTTTGGAGAGCCTGTAGCAGATATTTTGAGAAGTTCAGAGAACCGGTAAATACCACCTCTGACTGGCCCCGCCCCCATCTATTCTATGCCTCCCGAGTCCCAGCTGATTGGGAGGAAATGGAGATTTTGCAGTAACCTTCCCCTGGAGTGGGCAGGGAATGGAGATTTAACAGCATCCTTCCCCTGACACGCCCACCAAGCCATGCCCAAAGAACTGGTAGTAAAAAAATTTGAATCCCACCACTGTTCCCAAGGCATAATGTGAGCCTTCCAAAAACCTTCCATTGAACTTGAAATATTTAGGGTGGCAGAAGGAGAAAATATTAAATGTGTACTGCTTCAATTATATTTTGATTTGCCTTTTTTTTCCCTTGCTTTTTGAGTTGAAATAACAAGCCCCCCAACAAGATAACATGCCCTTGCCTTTAAGGATTGCAGAAGCACTGCAGGAAGCCTGTTGCTTCAATTGTTTAAAAGTTTTCCAGTTTAAACTGGATGTCTCAAATCATTGCACTAAGAACTGCAGCTTCTATACAGAGCCAGTATTCCAAATTTTCTATAGACTCACCCAGCAAGACAACAAACTGGGAGTTCTCATTTGTATTAAAAGTTGCAAACTGGCAAAGTCATTATTATATGAATGACAAGTGACCTATTCTGCAATGTACAGAAGAATTTACAATTTCATACTTTATGTCACACATTTAGCAGCTGCTTATAACCAGAGTGCAAGATTCTCAAAATCTTGTTTAACCAGATGTATTGAAAGGGAAAAAAGATTAGTTTAGAAAAGTATTGGCAATTATTTATGTAAAGCAATTTCCTATGTTCCGAAGTATGATATCATAAAAGGCTTAGAAGACACAGAAAACACATTCTGAAACAGGTTTGGCAAATCACATTAACAATGATTTGAGAAATCAGTTATAACTGTGACTCGGGAGAGCCAGCATCATAAAAATATAACTGTAACTAAATCATGACTGATTGACCAGAGAGAAAATGGAAGTAGGTAATAAAGAAACTTAAACCAAATTGTCCAGCACTGGGTACATGTTGTTCTTTGGCTTCTTCACATGAATCATTACCCAATTACAACAGAGACATTTAAATAAGTACTTTCTGATAAGCGGTAAAAAGGAATTTCTAGTAAATGGTTTGGGTAATGAAGGAGGGAGATACTGCTCTAATATGAATATAACTTATTCTATCTTTATTCCTTTTGATTCTGCAATCACCAGCTACATTACCATCATAATCAACTACTGCATCCATGATAACAGAAATTATTTTTTCAAGTTAGTGTTTCTTCAAAGACTGAGATACTATTTTGTACATGAGTTTTTCTCCTAGCAAAAAACCTAAACATTCTGTTAGCAGCTTTTATCCAAAGTCTTTATATTTGGGCAGAAACCGAATTATTTGTCAGTCCGCTCTATGTGGTTATTTTATGAATTCACTTATTATGGCTTAATGCTACATTCAAAACAAATGACTATGGTTTATTCAAAAACCATGTTTAACTAATCCGAGTTTAATACATTATTAGTCACTACCTATACCAGGGGTTGGCAACCTTGAACACTCAAAGAGCCACAAAGATCCTAACCGGAAACACACAAAGACAGACAGACAGACAGACAGACAAACAGACACACACACACACACACACCGTTCAATTCTGGAGCCGACCCAAAGTCCAGTTCCTCCACCATAGAGTCTCCTCCTAGTGCAGCATCTTTTTTCCTCTACCTGTCCTAACCAAAAGCCCTAGCAATTATGGAGTAAACCAGCAACAGGGAGCCACAGCAGAGGGATAAAAGAGCCACATGTGGCTCCAGAACTGGGGTTGCCAAAGGCCTTAAAATATTTTATTTCCAGAGCCTATATGAAGTTGGAAGTCCTCCTCTAAAATATATATTTTAAAATGCCTGATTTGTTCTCATCAAATTGAGCTGCCTGTTTATATGCACAGTTATTTCCAAGCTGTGAAAATATTTGCAGAATAAAACCCAAATCTTCTATTATGGACTATCCACTAAAACAGATATGACTAATATTTCCTTTGTTCTATATGGAGCTGGTCTTTGACTTTAGAATACAATTGGAATCAGAATGTCTGTTACTAAGCAAGGTGGTGGTTAAGTGAGTTGCGCCCAATTTTACAACCTTTCTTGTCTGAGTTGTTAAGCGAATCACAGCAGCTTTTAAGCAAATTATGCAGTTATTGAATTTGCCTGTCAGACGTCATCAGGGAAGATTGCAAATAGAGATCACATGACCCTGGGACACTGCAGTTGTTGTAAATGTGACGCCAGTTGCCAGGTGCCTGAATTTTGATCATGTTAATCAAAACGCCA